ATTTAGTAAAACGCATTTTATGGGGCATCTGTGGTTTGGAATTCTTTAAAAGGTGCACGTCCCCGCCCCCTAATAGGTTTAATGTGTATATCTCCCAAACCATTTCAGTTATGTTAAACAAATTTGCGCAAGGCAACTACTTTTGAGACTTCTTATGACAGTGTGAAAATAGGTGAAATCGGATGATAAGCCTGCCTACACCCCTTATAACGGTTTTGTTAAAAACTAATTAAAATGCTATAAATCTATAACTAAATGCGTCAGAGATATTAAATTTTTCATTTTGGAGGGTACATAAGGGTTTTATAGGAGCCGGTGTCAAATTTGGACAATTGGCGTGGCACCGCACACCTTTAGGTGAAATCACATATCCCTGGACCTACTCGACCAATTTCAAACAATTTCTATGGATAACATTATTCTGATATTCCTGTGAAACAGTGCGAAGATTGGTGAAATCGGGCTACAACCACATACACTTGCCATATAACACAAATTTACATTCCCTCCGATTCTTTCACTTTCCAGTATATAAATCAAGTACTAAAGAATACATCGGTATAAAACCTTGTACCATCTCAAGTCTAAAAATTGTTAAAATCGAACCATAACTGTTCAAGCCCCCTCATATACCGAAATATCGGTCAATATGTCAGATTTTGAAATTCGAAAAAAATCCTTTCCTTATAGCGATATGTCTGTATGTCGAAAATTGTTGGAATCGGATCAATACTTCGCTTAATTCCCATGTACCTAATCAAAAGATTTTCGAACTTCCAGTTGACTTAATACCGAATATAATATATTGGCCAATATGTAAGTTTCCTTGATAAAATTGAGTGCGAGTGCTTTTCTAATAACTACGCATCTTTGGGCCTATATTTATAAAATTGCTTAAAAATATGTTCTCAGGTATATTTCAGTAATGTAAAATTACGCTATAAGTGATTTCTGACTTTTACCTGACTTAAACCGTTCAGGTTTGCCAAAAGTGTGATATTTTAATAAACTTAAGTGGAAAAGCTTTCTTAGCGCTGAATATGAATGGAATTAGGCTAGATCCTGATAAAATATAATGAATTTTATCTCTAGTTGACGTTTTCCACATCAACTAATATATTAAATTTAGCTCTTCGGTAGAGTTTATATACATTTGAGGATGATTTTGATATAATTCTAACTGACGCGAAGTAGAATATAGCAATAAAACTATCTAAGTCTTGACCTATTATAATATTGTGACGAACACGGAATAGAACAAAATCGAATCAACGATAAACTGCCAGAAGCAGCTAGTTAGCGAATTCGTAGTTGCCAGAATGTTCAGGAGCAATGTTTTATTACAGATTTACTATAAGGGCTGCCGGATTGTGCAGCAAACACAGTTCTTGTTAGTGATAAGAACAACTGAGCATAAGCAAGAAGTTGTAGCTCGTATAACGAGCAATAGTGTTAAGTTGTTGGAATTAGAAATATAGATAAGTGTGTAGCCATTAAATTGGGGAGTTTTATTAACAATCCAGTGATGAACTCAAGAGTGAGTTACAGGTAGACGATTTATCGAGAAATCCGTTACAATTGGTGTCAGAAGTGGATTGTCAAAAGATCCCAAAGAGAGAATTGTTTGAAAATGGCCAAGTTTAACGATCTGAAGATTCACAACGAAAAGGAGCTGCAACAAAGGAGTAAAGTCAAATTACAGTCGCAGTTAAGAAGAGCCATGGAAGCAAAGAACATTAATGTTGAGGAATATGTCTTTCAATCGGAATTAGAGGAAGAGACAACAAAGAAACAAGATAAGGAAGTGACTCAATATTCAGTAGAGGTTATTTGTGCTGCGTTGGAATCGTTCTTTGAGGATTTTTCAGCACAGTTGTCAGCATCGAAAGAGCTGGACGTGCATATGTCAGTGCAGGTATCCTCACAGTTGGAAGTGGAGGAAGCGTGTGAACCAGTACAAGGGTCCTCACAGTCGAAAGAGCTGGACGTGCGTATGTCAGCGCAGGTGTCGTCGCAGTTGAAAGAGGAGGAAGCATGTGAACCAGTAAATAGGTCCTCACAGTCAGAAGAGCAAGAAGCTTGTATACCAGCACAAGCTCCCTTACTGTTGGAAGAGCAAGAAGCGTGTATACCAGCACAGGTGGAAGAGCAGGATTAAATTAAACCTGAAACGGATGACTCTTTGGAAAAAGGTCCAGAATGTTCAGTAGAGGTTATTTATACTGCGTTGGAATCCTTCTTTGAAAGTTTTTCAGCACAGTTGTCAGCACCGAAAGAGCTCGACGTGCATATGTGCAGGTATCTTCACAGTTGGAAGAGGAGGAAGCATGTGAACCAGAATCTTCACAGTATAAAGAGCAAGAAGCTTGTATACCAGCACAAGTGTCTTCGCAGTCGGAAGAACTGAACGGGGGCATGCCAGCGTAGGTGTCCTCACAGTCGGAAGAGGAGGAAGCGTGTGTACCAGTACAAGGGTCCTAACAGTCGAAAGAGCTGGAACTGCGTATGTCAGGGCAGGTGTTCTCACAGTTGGAAGAGGAGGAAGCGTATGAACCAGTAAAAGGTTCCTCACAGTTAGAAGAGCAAGAAGCTTGGATACCAGCACAAGTGTCCTTACAGTTGGAAGAGCAGGAAGCGTGTATACCATCACAGGTGGAAGATCAGCATAAAATTGAACCTGAAACGGATGACTCTGTGCAAGAAGATCCAGAATTGGAAGGTGCATTACATAAGGTGGAGTTGAACCAATGTACAACGATTGGAGAAATAACTACAGGAAGGCCAGTCACAAAATCATATTGGGCAGAACGGAGCAGTTTAAAGTTAGTGTATGGCTGTTTGCATCGAGTATGGAAAAGCGAAAATGGGCAAACCTTCCGAGTACTTATGGTTGTTCCAAGGGTTGGAATTCCTGATGTTCTTAACGTGCAGTACAAATGTCCAAGAGGAGGGCACTTGAGAGACATGAAATCCTTGGAGCATTTGAAGCAAAGGTTTTATTGGACTGGTTGTCAATCAGCTATAGAAAGGATTGCGAAATATGCTGAGAACATTGTAGCTAAAGGATCAAGGTCCAGGAGTCATGGGCAGATGAAACAGCACAATTCGCGTGAGCCAGTTGAGAAAATAGGCGTTTAGAAGATGGAGGAAATAGTCATGTTTTGGTAGTCAAGGACCATTTCAACGAATGGCCACAAGTATACACAATTCCTAACCAAGAGACTGAACCAGTGGCGGAGGCATTCATCAACAAGTGGGTAACGAGATTCGGTGTTCCAATGGAGTTACGTTCTGATCAAGAATGGAATCTCAAGTCAGCTTTAAAGCAAGGGATGTACCAGAAACTGAGTATCCGGAAAACGGATGGAATCAACTCCAAGAAGAGAAGGATTGCTAACGATGTCAGCACCAGCCTAGAAGACGAGATGGGGAACATAAAAGCTTTTTGTTTGGTATCGCAAATATGTCTAATCGGGACGATCAGACTTAGGTGGAGGGCAGTGTGACGAACACGGATGATAGAACAAAATCGAATCAACGATAAACTGCCAGAAGCAGCTAGTTAGCGAATTCGTAGTTGCCAGCATGTTCTAGAAGCAAAGTTTTGTTACAGATTTACTATATAAGGGCTGCCGGATTGTGCAGCAAACACAGTTCTAGTTAGAGTGTTGTCGTGATAAGAACAATTGAGACATAAGCAAGAAGTTGTAAGCTCGTATAACGAGCAATAAGTGTTAAGTTGTTGGAATTAGAAATATAGATAAGTGTGTAGCCATTAAATTGGGGAGTTTTATTTAACAACCCAGTGATCGAACTCAAGAGTGAGTTACAGGTAGACGATTTACCGAGAAATCCGTTACAATATGTTGTAACTAACACGCATGATAGAACAAAATCAAATTGACGATAAATTGCCAGAAGCAACTAGACAGCGAAATCGTAGTTGCCAGAATGTTCTAGAGGCGAAGTTTTGTTAAAAAATCCTGAGTATGTCAAAGATGTAAAAAAGAGGATTAAATTTTAAAAATTTTAATGAAAAGTAATGACAGAAAAACTCGATTTAAGTTGCTGGACTCTTTTTGCTTGTGTGAATGCACAGAGCGACACCAAAAGAGAATTGGCCGATAATGAGGGTCAAAAGAGTCCAAATGTAAAAGCACAGAAGCAACTAGATAGCGAATTCGTAGTTGCCAGAATGTTCTAGTAGCGAACTTTTGTTAAAAATTTACTATATAAGGGCTGCCGGATTGTGCAGCAGGGACAGTTAAGCCAAAAGCAATAAGTTGTTAATTCGAATATTGAGCAATAAGTGTTAAGTTGTTGGAATAAAGATAAGTGTATAGCCTTAAAAATGGGACTTTAATTTAACAATCCAGTGATCGAACTCAAGAGTGATTTACAAGGTAGACGATTTATTGAGAAATCCGTTACAATATGTAAACTTAATATAATAGCTCGCTGCTAGAACATTCTGGCAACTACGAATTCGCTGTCAAGTTGCTTCGGGCAGTTCTATTTTGTTCTATCATCAATGTTCGTCACAGTATTTTTAATTTTAATTCTCTTGCACTTGCAAGTTTACACGATTTTACGAAATACAAAAATTTCGCAAGAGCAAGCAAATCTCCTTATTGCTTTTTTATATGTAAATTTATAAAATTTAATTAACCCGGTTATTCAATTTCAATGTATACCGTATGTTTAATTTGTTTGAACGAATTTTAAGCAGCCAGTTTTGTCGCATTGTCCCACTTCATACACAGACTCGTTTGTAATCCAAACCGGTTTATTGTGTGCGAGCACGACAAGGAAAGACGAAGGGACTGTGCCACTCGTGTTCGGGTGGCACGCTTTGTGTTTTTGTTCGTAACAGTTCGCTGCTACCCGTTTCAGCATTCCGTTTCACTTTCGAAGTCTTTGAATGGTATATCGCATAACCGCAAAAAATTTAGTTCGAATATCATCTTATTTAAAGAAGAATTTTAACTAATTTTTTATAATAAATAGAAAAATTAACCAAAAAAAATATTGGAGTTTTAATACTTAAGTAATAGGAAATTCCTCTTAATGAAATATGCAACACACTTTAAGTATCGCGTAGCCGATCCGCACAAACGTATGCGAAAATTTTATGAAAAGGAATGACAGAAAAACTCGATTTGAGTTGCTGGACTCTTTTTGCTCGTGTGAATGCACAGAGTGACACCAAAAGAGAATTTAGCGATAACAAGGGTCAAAAGAGTCCATATGTAAACACAATGTTTCCTTTGAGAATACTACGCGATACCGTAACAAGAATGGTTGCGTAGGAACACATAAAAACTTTGCTAAGGCTATCGATTAAAATGTTTTCTCTTTCAAGTGACAGCTGACTGATAATCGGTTCATATAACATCTATACAACAAGTATAAAACAAAGTGTTTCTATTGGTTAACATATTAAAATTGTTTTAAAGCTGTAATCATAGTAAATTTAGCAGCATATCTTTGGGACGCATCTTCCAAACATAAAAAATAGCCGTTAGTGGACCACTTAAAGCTTAGCATTTGAACAATATTTGATTTTACATTACACACAAAGTTACGAAAAATAGTCATCCTAATAACAGTATAATTTACTTAAATATATATTATAATTAAAAAAAAAAATGGAGTGAAAATAAATAATATGTTATATATAAAAACTTCTCAATAAGTAATATAATAAATAATAAGCAAATTAATATTTTATTGTATGTTACAAAATTTTTCACTCTATGTATTTTTCAATATTCCAGGATTTAATTTAAAAATGTCAGCTACAACGAAAGCTCGAAAACAGCCTACTGCTATATCCCGCATGAAGCAAGATTATATGCGACTGAAACGTGATCCCCTGCCATATATAACAGCTGAACCACTGCCAAATAATATACTTGAGTGGCATTACGTAGTAAAAGGGCCCGCAAATACGCCTTATTATGGTGGTTACTATCATGGTACTTTGGTTTTTCCTCGAGAATTTCCTTTCAAACCGCCATCAATTTACATGCTTACTCCAAACGGCCGCTTCAAAACAAACACAAGATTATGTCTAAGCATATCAGGTAATTTAATAGACAAGTCAACCCGAATAGTACTTTACGTAAGTTATAATTGCAGATTTCCATCCAGATACTTGGAATCCAACTTGGTGTGTTGGCACCATACTCACTGGTCTATTAAGTTTTATGGTATTATTCACATCATTCTGATTAAATACAATTTACTCATAAATTTTAAAAATAATTTCAGTTGGAGACAACACCAACACTTGGATCCATAGAGTCAACTCAATACGAAAAGCAACAATATGCAAAGAAATCACTGGCTTACAACCTAAAAAATCAACACTTTCGCGACTTGTTTCCCGAAATAGGTGAGGAAATTAACAAACGAATAGAAGAAGAACAAAAATCTCTTACTAAGCCTACCACAATGCCAAAAGGATCAAGCAAAAGAGATAACAGTAACGATGAAATACCCAATGCTGAAATTTGTGGTATTGAAAGTATTGTTGATCATGTACAAAATAGAGGAATTGGAGCAAACAGTACAGGGAACTCTTTAATTAATTGGCAATCAATTTATTCAAATTTAATCATTTTAATAAGTTTTGCAATATTTGCCCTAATGGTAAATTATGTGATCAAGAATATAAATCAAGAATAGAAATATAAAAAAAGATATATTGTTCTCCCTATAAATAGATAAATTATAACACTGAATTTCATTCCTCTACAATATAAAACATTATTTGTATATAAATATTATCGTATGTATAACTAATAATATTGTATCATAAAAATACAGCGCTAGTACATAAATTAAGATAAACATTTTATTTGTAAATAATAGACTTTGAAAAGTTTTTTTGCGCAAAGAAGTCATAAATATTACACATACAAATTCGCCATTCAAAAAAATAAAGTCGGATTAATTTCGTATATAAAATGAATGTTTGATTTTTTAAAGTCTCCAAGATTTTTCACGGTTTTTCATATCTGAATAACAATACGAATTGATTTCTGCTTTGAAGCTATTGCTATTTTATGTACGAAGTGAGCAATTATGTTCCAAAACTTAATTTTGCCGGTGACTGTAGGGAGGGATTTTATGGTTTTAAGCTAATCTCATATGAAAAACATTGTGGATATTTAAAAAATACCATTTATCTTAGTATTAAAAATGTTTAGGTAACGACTACGACCTAACTTAACGGTACCAAAAGGTAATCAGCTGGGCGTAGCGGCTTAGCTGTAAACCCAATTAAGACTGAAAAGTTTTTATTTACCAGGATGTTTAAAAACCTGAACGTGTCTCTCCCCTTTGTTGTCTTGTCACAACGATCAGCCTGTTACCCTAACCTAGTAATAAGATATGAAAATGAACAAGTTTCGCGTTTTTTCATACTTTGCCCCTCGTACTTCATTTATGACGAACATCCACCGCTGTATTCTGAGTGGCCGGTGCACGGTTTTACTTGAAGTTAGTTAGGAAATGACTTATCCAATTAATCAGGGGGGTTGTAGAATCTGATAGTTGTCGGATTCAGAATTGAAACCGATGAAAAATGTATCAGGTGTTATGAATTCAGATATTATTGGTTTGACGTTTGAAACAGAAATTGTACCAGTTTTGGGTGTCACGGAAACCAATTTTATCGGTTTTGTTATCAGAAACGCACCTCCTGATCGCCGCTCGATTATAATTTAAAAAATACAGTGAAAGCTAAGGATGACAAAAAATAAAAGAAACAAGTGTGAGTACTGTGATATGGAAAAGCAACATAAAACTCTTGGAACATAAACTTGTTAGCATACTTTGTGAGGTTGAGGGTGCAAGACGCTATATGTACGTAAGTATATGCATACATATGTACGTACATATTCATATATGTATACAAATTTATCAGCTTTGCGAATGAGTACTTTCTGGTTGGGTGGCGAAGCGATGGACAACTTCCATTAGCGTTTGGATGGCAGTTTAAAAGCATTATTCAGGGGAAAATAAAATTTGCTGAATCGAAATGTAGCTTAATACAACAAAAACCCCTTGAAGGGAGGAGGTTCTTGTAATAAATAGTAACACATAAAAGTTAAAATATGATTCTTCAATTGTATAATTGTTGCAGTTCATTAATGTAAAAATTATTTCGGATGCAATTGAGTCATCTACATATTTCTTAGATGATTTGCTCTGTAAAATACTACCCTTTCTAACTCCAGCATTGTCATTATATTATATATAAGTATATATTATATCAAATGAAGGAAACACACTGCGATTTGTAGCCGAAACTTTGTCTAACCCGTATATACTAGGGTGGGTTACAAAACTGAATATTTTACTAGCTTCTTACTCAGAGAAATAGTTTCTTAGACTATCTAAGAAAGTTTCTCCAAGTATGAGCTCTTAATTGTAACGGGAAGTCCTCCGTGGAGCCAACTGCACGAGCAATTCGCGCTGCACCTTACTTCTTGACATTGACGCCTACATCGCATATTATGTTGCAGCCTAGCTGAGCGAGGTGACCACTCGACCGTTTTCTAATACTTATATTTTTAAATTCGTGATATCGCTCGAATGGAATGTCCGAATCGAATAACTCAAAAAGTATATAAAGGTATTGAATAAGTCTTGAAAAGTTATTAATTTTGATAAGGATTAATAATAAGGTATACGTTGCTGTTGCGACATTTTTTCTCTTTTATTTTTTATACTCTTGCAACATGTTGCTACAGAGTATAATAGTTTTGTTCATCTAACGATTGTTTGTATCACCTCAAACTAATCGAGTTAGATATAGGGTTATATACTGTCTGACTTTTGGACGAGAAGGTACAGGTTCGACAGCGAACAATTTGTAGGATTTTATCAAGGAGTTCACCTCACATGCACGAGAAACAAATAACATTTCTCGCTTTTATAACAGCGGTGAATCTGTACACATACGCTCTTTTAACATAACCAACCGACGAATATTGAGAGAATATAATATGTATGCAAAACTGGGAATATTGATATGCCATTTGAAATATATTCACTTTTATTGAACTATTATTTATTATTATTTTTTAATTATTTTATGTTAATTCATTTTTACTTTATTGTGAGTTATTAATAATAATTTAAACATATTTTAATATATTTCTTAAAATAATTCATGTACTTGACACCATTATGGAGTCACAAAAGTACAGAATTGTGTTTGCCGAATTTTCATATCATGTGTACATGTAAAGAAATATTTGTAAGTTTGTCTTAAAACCACATACATATACATATATGTACAAATGTAGATATTTACACGGTCAACCAATGACCGAAACTCACTTTTTTGCTTTTATGTCAAAGAGTCAATCTGTCGAAGGACTGACGCGACGAAAAAGCCTCACAACATTGTGTTGTTGGTAGAAAATCCGAGATGTGCCGAAAAATAAACGAACGCCCGCCGATTGTCATCGCTTCCCTTGCCGCTCTACCAGCTTTGCCAACAAATCATTGTAGATATGTATGTTTTTATATGAACATGCATACATATTGACGCAGATTTTTGCAAGGCACGGAAAAAGATTTTACAATTGTGAAATATTTTAAATCGACAAAAGCTTCGTTGCCACTTGTGTAATTTTTATACTCTCGCAACATGTTGCTACAGAGTATAATAGTTTTGTTTACCTATCGGTTGTTTGTATCACCTAAAACTAATCGAGTTAGATATAGGGTTATGTATACCTATATAAATGATCAGGATGAAGAGACGAGTTGAAATCCAGGTGACTGTCTGTCCGTCCGTCCGTCTGTCCGTTCGTCCGTGCATCTTTATGAAACTTGGTACACATGTTTCTTGGTACAGAAAGACGGTTAGTAATGCAGATGGGCGTAATCAGACCACTGCCACGCCCACAAAACGCCATTAATCAAAAACAAAAAAATTGTCATAACTAAGCTCCGCAATAAGATACAAGACTGTTATTTGGTCCACGAGATCACATTAGGGAGGGGCATCTGCAGTTAAAAATTTTTTTATAAGTTTGCGTGGTCCCACCCCTAATAGGTTTAATGTGCATATCTCCTAAACTACTAAAGCTATAATAACAAAATTCACTGGAAGCAAATGCTTTTAGCACCTCTACCAACGGTGTGAAAATGGGTGAAATCGGGTGACAACCCCGCCTACTCCCCATGTAACGGTACTGTTAAAAACTACTAAAAGCGCGATAAATCCAGCACTAAACACGCCACAGACATTAAATTTTATCTCGGGGATGGTATGAGATGACTTTATAGGAACCGCGTTCAAAATTAGACAGTGCGCGTGACACCGCTCACTTTAAGGTGAAACCCCATATCTTGGGATCTTTTTAACCGATTTCAACCAAATTTGGTACGTAACATTATTTTTATATTTCTATGTTATGGTGCGAAAATGGGCGAAATCGGATTACAACCACGCCTATTTTCCATATGACACCATTTTAAATTCCACTTGATTCTTTCACTTTCCACTATGCAAATCAAGCAACAATGATTATATCGGCGTAAAACTTTGCGTGAATAATACGTTTAAAGTATGCCACCTTGTGACCAAAAATTCTCTAAATCGAACCAAAACTGTTCAAGCCCCTAGGTACTGAATATGTGGACCCCAGTATTTATAGTTGACTTTTTACCGTAAATATCGGCCATTGTGTAAGATATATAATTGAAATTCATATAATAGAATAAATAAATGAAACTATCGATAATAGTATGTCTTTGTTTCAAAAATGGGTTGAATCGGATCAATAGTTCTTGTAGCCCTCATATATCTAATATAAATATTTTTGAACTTCCGCGTGACTTTATACCGCATATGTGAGTTATCTCAATGAAAATGTGAGAGCGTGTTTTACTCATAACAAGATCAAATCGGGTGAAAATTTTCCTTAGCCCCCATGTAACTAATATCAGGATTTCGAACATTCGTCTGACTTTACTCCATTTGATTGGTGATGGTATGTGAGGTACCTTAATGAAACAGTGGAAGCATTTTATTAGTATGTGGCATGTTAGTAGTATGTGGTATTGGAAAAAATTAATAAAATCGGATTAATACTACCGTCAAATTCCATATACTACTTATAATGCTTTTCGTTATTCTAACCAGTTTTATGCCGAATATGTCGGTCAGTGAGTATTAATATTTTTTTTTATATATAAAATTGCTTCAAAATATAATATGTTCTCGAGTATAGCTGAGCAATGTCAAAATTAATATATTTCTCTGTCCCCAATATATATATGCTTTCCGTCTTTCCACCTGACTTTACACCGTTTCGGTTGATCAACGTGATAACGAAATTAAGTGATAACGAAATTAAGTGGAAAAGATTTCTTAAAAATTATGTGGTTTAACGCTAAATTAGAATGAAATTAGTATCTACTAAGTGTAAACCTCACACCTTCATATAATGAATTCCGATTCTCTGGTTGACGTTTGCCACATAAGCTTATAATATAAAATTTAGCCACTTTGGTGGAGTTAATATCACATTCATACTTATGTATATACCACTTCAAGCAATTAAACTGAGACTAAGTTTATGACCTTTAATATAAATCAAGAAGATATCAAATTTGATTGTAATTTAATCACGATATCATTTAATAATGGATGTTGGATTGTTGATGGACAGTTTTTCTTAAAAATATAGTATATCGCTGCATATGAATGAAATTGGTCTAGACTTTGTTTAAAACTTATAACCCTAATATACTGATTTCCGCTCCTCTGGTACAACAGCAACCTCATATATCCCACATATTAAATCTAACCCCTTTGGTTC